TAGAAAGAAAATCAGGTATGCAAATTAAAAAGCACACAGGACCACAGGAGTCAATTAAAAACAACTATTCCTTTGTATCAGATGTGACCACAACCGGCATAAAATGAAAAGTTTGGGTAAAATGATTAAAAAAAATGGAAAAATTATTTAATACTGACTCTGGTATTTATAAACCATGGTCAAGCATGGGGTAAAATACCACTTCTACGCCAATGACTGCCAGCTTTACGCACTTGACTCTCACACCTATGTTTACTGTACAACTGAAACCATCAATTTCTATCCTGAACACTCTTCCCACCCATTGATCACTCCTTCACTCCCCCCTGTGTCCCTCAACACATCTGTTACTAGTCTGGAGGATAAGCTAGACTCTGACTTGACCATGTCACCTCAAGTTAACGCTACAGTAACATCATGCTTTTATCAGCTTCAATGAATCTCTCGACTGAAACCCATCTTAAAGCCGCCACACTTAGAGTCAGTCATTCATACCTCTATTACACCTCACCTGGACTGTGCTAATTCACCTCTATTTGGGGCAAATGCAACTTGCCTCGATAGGTTGCAAAGAGTCCAAAGTGTGGCTGCTCGATTTCTTATGATTCAATTCAATTCAAGTTTATTTATATAGCGCCAAATCACGACAAGCGTTGTCTCAAGGCACTTCACATAATAAACATTCCAATACAGGTCAGTTCATTAAGCCAATCAGAAAAAAAGTTTGCTATATAAGGAACCCAGCAAATTGCATCGATTCACTGACTGGTGTCAGTGACTTTACAGCAATCCTCATACTAAGCAAGCATGCAGCGACAATGGAGAGGAAAACTCCCTTTCAACAGGAAGAAACCTCCAGAGAATCCTGGCTCAGTATAAGCAGCCATGCTCCATAACTCACTGGGGATCAAGAAGACAGAGCAGGCACACACACACACGCACACACACACACACACACACACACACACACACACACACACACACACACACACACACACACACACACACACACACACACACACACACACACACACACACACACACACACACACACACACACACACACACACACACACACACACACACACACACACACAGGACTGATCGACACAGCCACATCACCCCATCCTCGCCAAGCTTCACTGGACAGTATAAGATCTTGACCCTCACCTTATTTCGAGTGGTTCGGCTCATTTAGAAATTTTGGTTGCATTCTTGATTTTATGTTTTACCAGCCTTTTGTAAATCATTTGATTGTGAGGGCTCATTTTAACGTAGGATTACTGCTCTTTTGTTTGTTTTACATTTGCCCCCTTTCTGTGTTCAAGCACTTTGTTCAGCTGTTTTAAATGTGCTCTATAAATAAATATGGTGCGATAAGGTACGGTATGGTTTCTCTACCTCCATGAGTTGCTCAAACCTTACACTCCTGTACACTCCCTCCAGTCCGCTAACCAGAGCCTTCTGAAAACACCTAAGAGGTCCTACAAATCTCACAGCGAGCAAGCTTTTTCTCACACAGCGCCCAAATTATGAAGCACCTTACCTATTTACATTAGGGTGACTCAGTCACTGAGTTCAAATCATGCTTAAAAATGCATTACTTCTGCATGGCTTTTGACCCGATTTTATTACCGCTCCTTTCTTCCCAGACCTTCAGGGCTTTGAGCCTTGATATTTTTAGATAGTTCTTATTCTTGTTGACTTCTGGGTGGAATCATTCATTTATTGAGTATTTTATTTTTTGCGTGTACTGTTTGGGTGGGCCTTGCTTTGCCTCCTCGTTTACAGTCAGCTGTAATGATGTATTTTAAACAAGCTGTGATTAGACTAGATTTACTTGTCTCTCATGATGACTTTGGTGTAAATTGGCAAAAAAAAATAAACAGAGTCAGATCAGCCTCAGCACTATTATTTCAACATTATTGATGGACGATCACAATTAGAAAATGTACCCCCACATGAAAGGATATATTTTTTTCAATCAGTAAAAGTTCACAACATGATTTTTATTCAAGGTCTGATTTCCGTTACTTTATAAGTAAACTCACAAGTAGGATTATATTTCTTCTCACAACAAAGTATTTCACAGTTTGACCGCAAGAGGTAGTAATTTGAGCAACGTTCAATTATGGCTGAACTGATCACTGTAATCACTAATTTCCACTTGTTGGTTTTTACTGCTTCAAAAACTCTGCGATTTGGAACAAAATTTCTCCTGGAGCAGAAAATAATATTTGATTTGCCACCAGATTATAATAGCACACTGTCTACCCAACTGTGTTGGAGCCAAAGTCGTTACAGAACATACTTTTTTTAAAAATGTTCTTAACTTTAGTTCAGTTGAGATGCGGTTTAGGTTTTTTGGGTGTCTGACAGAAACCATGTTTGATCATTATAAAGTCCCTTTATTCATCTGAATGTGGGCTTTAAGTTCAAAGAAATAATGAATTCATATGAATCATGTGAAATTACCTTTCAGAGAAGTCCTAGACTCTTCATTTTGGCCACTCTTGAACCTCCACAGATTAACATTTAACATTCTACTAAACAGGACACATTTTCCTGCGTAACACTAAGAAGGACCACTCTGCTCAGACAAAAACACAAAGTGAACCATCATCCATCCAGCTCTGGAGGGAATAATCTAGCCTTAAAGTATTATGGCTAGCCAGCTGAAGAAGAAACAGAATGACTTCATACAAACAACTCCCAAAACAAATTCATACAAAAAAACTCCTAACTGAAAACATGGTTCAGTGTAAAATGATGTGATCCTCCTTCTTTAACTACATGACTGTAATTAACATTTAATAATACAACAAAGCAAACTTAAAAACATTTAAAAAATCTATTACAGTGGAGAAAAATAATTAGTACCTCAATATATATTACTCCAAAGTGTTTGGAAGTGTTATTTAAGTAAACAATTTCTTCTCCAAATATGGTTAAAATGGTCTGACACCCACACATTTAGCTTAGAAACACCAGACTGTGACGACCCTCGTCCCCTCGGTCCGTCCTCTCATCCTAGCCTGAGCCTTTTGTCCCCGCTGCACGGGATCCAGCACCAGGGACAGCGCCAGGAGCGGCCAGCTCACACTCTCCAGCGCTCCAGCGCCCTTTCAGGACCTCGGAGAGAGGCACGCCAGCAGAGAAAGCAGCTGATCTTCATCCAGCAGCTCCCAGCTCTTTAAAAGGAGGAACGCAGCAGACATCGAGGAGATCCTGGAGTAGCCAGAGATTCTCCTCAGCTCACAGACACTTTGCTACCGTTACCAGTCGGGTTTAAGGCTGTTTACTCCGTTCCTGCTGGGTTTAAGGTTGGGTTAAGTTTGTTGCTAGAGATCCAGGAGTAGCCTGAGATTCTCCCTCGCTCATTATTTGTTTATGGTGTTCCAAGGAACGCCTTGCTAATGGTAAAGCCATTTTGGGGCGTTTGCCAGATGAGTTTGACTTAATTATCCTTTTAGTAGGATTTAATTGACCTAGGGTCAGTTTTCTAATGTTGGTGGTTTTTTATCCCAATAGGACTTTTGAGCCGGGGATATTTTTGAGTTTTGGCAGAAAGACTTTTTTTCATACGCAGTGAGACTGCTTATGTTTTAGTTCATTATTATTATTATTATTACTGTTAAGCCTTCTTTGCTGTTCAGACAACAGACACCTTTTGTTAATAAATCCTTTTGTTCTTACTCAAACCTCCTCGTCCTTTACACACCTACACCTATTTTCTTGGAGTTGTGTTAGTCCCCTCATCATCCTAGACCTGCAGAGAGGGGGCGTAACACAGACCAACAAGGGGTAAATCAATAAGGCTGCTGTGCATTGGTTTTGTTATTGGGTCATTTTACTTTGACTCCAATGCTAAACTCCAAAATCAGATGTGGTGTGTTAAAAGTGTTCACACATTTAAAAAACACATTTGTTTGATTACAACCTATTAGCACTGTAGTATTCTCCCTCTTACTTGTGCAGGGCATCAATGCATTGCTTAGCTTGCTAAAATGAACAAGCACATTTTCAGTCATAAATGAAAAAACATATCTTGATTCATTAATTAGAAACAATTGTAATGCTTCATGAGACCACAAGTTAAGAAAGCCAACAAAACATATGGTTGAGTAGATATTCTCATTCTGAGGTCAACCAAGTGCAAAGAATGAGCTGACTGTGTGTCAACAACGTGCAGCTGTCAGTTCTCAGTAGCTGTGACTATTGTAAACCATTTGAATTCACAAAAGTCTGTTTTCACAAGATTGAATTCTTATTTGCATAAATAATCAGCTCCTGAGTCATTTGCATTATAAACACCATACTTCCCCTTCACAGCACATATCATGGATCATAAATGATTCTTCCATTAAGCTATAAACGATCAACCTGTAGATACCACCGGTAGAGCAAACAACAGGATCTGAACTAAGCCACAAGGCGGTGCCAAAAATGACCCCATTGTCTTTTTACATCACGCTAATATCGTCCCTCTAATCATGTTTGAGGAACAAAACCCTCTAACAAATGAAAGTCCACTCTCCAAACAAGCGCACAGTTTCCTGTTAACGTCAGCTATGGATCAGCAACAGAATGCATTTACTCAGATCTGTCTCACTTTTTTTCTGTGCACGCGCCCCATCATCCGTCACGACTGCGATGTCCTGGCTTCTCGCCTCCTTCCAACTACAACTGTGTGCTCTTCACTCAGCTTCACAAGGATGGATTCCGTTCAGCCCCGCATTCAACAATGTGCGCACAGCCAGAGTTCAGCTGGCACAGGAAACAGTAGCTTCAACCAGAAGGATCAAGCAAATGTCATTTTCAAAAAAATTCAAGTCATCTATTAAGTGTACACAATTGACACATCAACTTGTTTTAAATAAGGAGCCTGAGCTAGGTGTCCGCTGCAGCCTGGCACGTTCAAAACTGGGAATGAGCTTGTTTTACACTGATTTGCTTTAAAAGGAAGCATCGTTTTCCTCATTAGGATCCAGCTTCCTTACCTGTGTTGTGTCTTCTCTGGGTTTAAGACCAAATTCCTTGTAGTTTGGCTCGTGACTGCAGAAATAACGCCGATTAGCATGAAAGGCGTTAATGCGGAGTAACTCACTTTTCCTCCGGATCCTCCGCACCTTCTTCACTGAGACTCTTTGGATAGATAGATGAACAGATAAAATGCGTCACCCATTAGAGTCCTGTGGAATCAGATAGTCGGACGATCACACCATCTTCCGCTTCACGGGACAAGAGCCGATTCAAGGAGAAAACATTCACATTCAGCGGAGTTTTGTGGTGAAAAAATCCCTCTTCACTTCATCTCCGGTAGAAATCAGTCGATTTCTCTCCAACAGAATGTTTTCTGTCTCCTGGTCCGTCTTCGCTCTTAAAAGCATTAAAATCCGAAAGGCCTAGGTGGAATGTGTTGCTTTATTCTAGCCGGTGATGATGCGTAACCCGCATCCTCTGAAGGAAGAGCGCAGAAAGACAGCAAGGCATCGGTCTGTTCAGCGCTGCTCTGAACAAATGCACTCAGCAACATTCAGCACCTCGCTCACATCAGGAGCTGTGGATTCGGCTGCACCGTCCGAGTTGGTCCGGGAGTAACTCCGAAGGTCCAGACACAATCAGCAGGAGATTTTCGTTTTCCCCTCTCAAAGCGGCTGACCAGACGTGGAAAAAAAAAAAAAAAAAAACTCCGGACTTTATCGGCAGCCTTTAAAAGTCCACAGATGATGAACCTTCAGGAAAATTCAACAGAAAACACCGACAGGGTGGAGAAAAGTCCAGAGCACTGAAGATTGCTTCATTCTGGATGTGCAAACAGCGCATAATGCCTCTGCCTGCACGCTGGACTTATTTACTCATTATAACTCAAGGGGTGGTCACTAATGAGCACTTTTGAAAATGGGGGATGGAACTTTAAAGTATGACACGTATTTGAATCATATGCACTAAATACATTGGTAACAGGTGAAGGTTTGATGTAACTCATGGGAGTGAGTGGACAACTCTAAGGAATGTCACCACCGTAATCCCACTCTAAAACTGACACACAATCATGACTCATCACTTTAAAAAATGTCAAGTAAAAAAAGACGTGGTAAATTTAAAATAACTGACATAATTCTGACTCGCAAACCCTGCAACTGTTGGAAATCTGCTGCTTTAAAAATCTGTATCAAAACATAGTGTGCCAGATTTCCTCCAGTTTGGTTTCTTCATTCTAAGTCTCACTGAAACACGTTTGTAGTAGTTTTGCCCACAATACCTTGCTCTCTATGTTCTTGACATAACCATATATTCAAATTCACTTCTGGTCTTGCTTTAATTTTTAACAACAAATCAAAACTTGTGTGAATGTGAAACTGTTGGGATGAGAATCAGCTCCTCCAAATTGGAGACTATAGATCTTAATTGGAAATTCCCATGGATAGGAACTTTGTCTGCAGGAATCAGGGTTTAGTGACAAAAACAGAAATGATCCAAAAGGAGAATGTCCTTCAGACCATTGCCCATCTTCATGAGATTTGTATCATGTCCATAATAAAAAAAGAAAAAAAAGAAAAAAAATTATGCAAATCCCAGAGACAGAGGAGCACTCCTTCTTGAACTTGGCACCCCAGAACCAGATCTTGAATAATGAACTGATTAGAAAATGAATAAAGAAACCCCTCACTAAAACCTTCTACAGCAAACAGAGCTCAGCAAAATGTTATGTTACAATAAATATTAAGACAACTTTTTACATTAATGTGACATTTTAAAATTTAAATAGTCTCCAACTTTGATTCCACTAATGAGTACTGGAGAGCTGACAGTATCATTTCTAAATAACTGAATTGTGCCTCTCCTTGTACTCACCATACCTTCTCTCTTCCTCTGATCTCAGAGGTGATGCAATAAAGTTAAATGGTGACAACTTTGACTCAAGATTCATTCTTTGCAGTGCTGCTGATTACATTTTCTAACTTGTGCACATTTTATTGACCCATTTATATCAGGAAAAAATAAAACATTTAATGTTAAAGTGAGGTGATATTCCATATTTACCTTTTTCCTAAGCTGTATCTAAAATCCTGTGATCTCTCCACTCTTCTTTGACTACACATTGCTTTTTGCCACTTTGATCATGAAGGTTACTCTACTTCATAAAGTCTAAAGGCTACAATACAGCAGAAGAGAGCAATGGGTTCAGTGTGCTGCCAAAGGACATTTTTTGCAGGAAAGCTGGGTTTTGAATCAGGCAGTTATCAAAAAGCCAAGTTCTGGTATTATCTCTTTGTCCAAAATAGATTTGTGATTAATCACAATTATAACTTACTGCAATCTCATTCTCTTTCCGTGACATGCTAATGGTGGTTCACATATGATTTCCCCCTGTTCATAGCTTATTTCAGTTCAGTCAGAAGGTTGGACCCAGTCCCTTGGTTGTGCCTTTTCTGTGTTCCAGGCACAGTACTGCCAACTTTCCTTTCCTGCCATTTTGACCCCCCCCCACACCACCCCCCCACACATACACACACATACACATGAGCTAATAATTAATGATTGCAAACAAAAAGACAATCTTAGAGCAAATGTCATCCATATGTGTAATTACTTATGTACTTGTTGAGTCTGAACTGTTAGCTGAAAAATCATTTGGGAGGATTTTCTTTATTTTTTTCCGAGAATGTTTCCGGGGTTAGGGATTCTGAGTTTTCTTTCAGGCGTTTTTGCTAAACCAAGTATTTTTATAATGTTCCCATTTCAGCACCATGGACAGCGCCAGATGTTAAACCCTCACCCAGCAAAGAAACGCGATTTTGCTCTAGCTGTTTCACTGATATCCTGCTGTGGGACCATTGCATAAGCTGTATGCATCTTAATTTTAACTTGAACTCATTCACTGCCATTGATGACTAAAGTTGTCATTTTAAATCCAACCGTTCACTGCCAATGACGACTAAAGTCTTCATTTGCTTTTTCTTTTTTTTTTTTTTTTTTACTGTGTGGGCATCGGAACGAGCCCCCGCTCCGTGAGAACAAACATCTCAGCTCTAAAGCCGATCTTCATCCGCATACGTCACATGTCACACATCACGTGATCAGGAAGCAGAAAATCCATGTGTTCGGAAATCGTTTTGGGCCGCTGCTGTAAAAAAAAGTGAGGCACGAACCGGAAAAGCTTTTGCCGATCACAATTCAACAATGGATTATGAAAGAACGGATAACGCTCGAAATGCGTGGATTCTTCCTGATGAAAGAGGTGAGTCTCTGCTTTGTTTTGGATGTTTTGGCATCGACATCATCCCAGTGTGTAACGTTCTGTGACACTTAAAAAAACACTAAAAACGGTGAGAAATGCTGGCAGCGAAGGGCTTTGCCAATCAGGAAACGGCTGGCAGCGAATGAGTTAGCAGCACCCATCTGATGCAAAAATAAAATGTTATACAGTTAGGTCGAAGTGTTGTAATCTCCCCTCATATTGTCTGCTGACTTTACGCTGTTTGTACTTAGAATCTGCTTGCAAAGGAGACCATAATCTTAACAAGGCTTCTTATAAATAAATGAATAGCTCTAAAAGCAAAGTCAGAGCAGTTTGCCAAGAGAATGAGTGCTTCCAGAAGAACAATGAGACGATCACAGTCATGCTGCATACAACAGTTAAACTGCTTTTACATTACAACAACGACAGAGTTTGAATGCACGATGGAAGCTGGGAAATCCAAATTTCCTTTGGATTTAGTCTAAACCTGTGTTGGTGGGACAAATATGTTTTTCTGTGGAAAATATAGTATCTCAGGATCCTGTAGATATAAAAGATAGACCAACTTTTCATTTTTACTAATCTAAAATTGTTTATTTAGACATTTGTGTTTGTGAGCCATGAAAACGTAGTGAAAGGGTTATGAGTAATGACTAATACATGGCAGACTGGTTCTCCCACAAAAATAAACAATCAATGATGAACAAGACTCTGCTTCCATGCAGAAGGAGAAAAAAAGGAAAGAAAAACAACACACAACAATTCAACGGGAGCAAACAATCACTGTGTCAACCTGATGAGGAAATATGAAATCAACATTGTTTTACTGAACAATCAAACGATAATAAATCACAGTGCATTTAGTGCCAACCACAGCGTTAAGACTTGTGTTGAATGTGCCCAAGTCCATACTGATGAGAGCACCATGTGAGCACCTGTGTGTGTACACGCGCTTGTTTATGTAAGGTTTCTCTATAAAAGCGCCCAATAGAGAGTGTGAGGGGCCACAGATCTTCGCCCCAAAAATGTGTAGGAGATGGAAGGAGCTCCAAGTCTCAGAAATCCAGGAGCTGCCACCAGAGTGCAGGGACCCCAGGGAGACTGCAACCAGAAAAGCCCCTGCCCCCCTCAAGAGGCGCAGAAAATCATCCCGGGGAGCCACAACCAGCAGCTGGCAGAGTCCCGGGAGATATCAACGGCAATCCCACAGGCCCGCCCGCAGCCTCCCACCCCCTAGCCGGCCAAGCCCCAAACCCAGCGACCCGGGACCCAGGGGAGACCACCCCCGCTGGGGACCCAGCAGAGCCCAGGGACACAGATCCCACCAGGTAGCCACTGGGATTGATCAGGCATACGCCCAAAATCTTAAACCCCCTGACCCGGGAGCCACGAACACTCAGGCAGACCAAGGCACCACACTCCACACCAAGTGTGGCAGGGGGAGGGGAGACGAAGATGTATAGCATCAAAAGAAGTCCCAGGAGAAGGGAGGAGTCAAAAGCCCCACCTGACATATACAGTCATACACAGACAGCCACACTCTCCCTCCCTCATGGACATACAACCTAAGACTTACAAAAATGCACGCCGGACACCCACTCATGCTCCCCATACACATTCACTCTGGTCCCGGTACTGCTGCACTTGGGGTACAACCATGCTGGATTTACTTTTACTTACTTCAGAGGAAAGATCACTAGGATGCTGCACCATCTTCTTGTGCCTTCTCCCGGTTTGAAGCCTGCTTTTTCCAGTCAGAGAATTACTCTGCCATTTATTAGTCATTTCTTTTAAACCTTTGACTATGTTTTCATGGCTCACAAACACATATGTCTAAGTAAACAGTTTTAGATGATTAAAAATCAAATGTAGGTCTATCTTTCATAACTACAGGAGCCTGAGATCCTATATTTTTCCACAGAAAAACATATTTGTCCCGTTAACACAAATTTAGACTAATTCCAAAGGAAATTCAAATTTCCTAGCTTCCACCCAATATTCAAATGCACCATGTACACACAAATCAGTCAGGTGTGAAAATAATCTCAAAAGGATTTTTGTACTTGTAAACTGATCTGTGTGTAATGTAGTTTTGTCCGTGTTTAACAGGTGATTTGCGTGTGTGTATTCAATGATTTGTATGTGTAGGAGCTGAAGTTACACACGGAAATGTTAACACAAGTTACAAATCAAGAGTCACACACACACACACACACACACACATCTTTAGTTACACACACAAAAATCTAGATACACATGCACAAATCAAGACACACACACACACTGATCTTTTGAAACTTCTTTCTCCACATATCCTGGCACCACTAACATACTGAAACACTGAGGATATAATCAGCAGTGTTGGACATATTTTTCCAGGTCAGTGAACTTCAGGAATAAAATAAAAAATAAAAAAGTAAACATCCAAATGAGGGTTGAGCAGGACTGATGTGCTGTGACTATTTGCAGTTAGGTGAGTCTGCAATTTGAAAGGACACATCTGATGTCAAATTTAAGGCTCTGGCATGAGTT